CAGCTCCTCAGGGGCTGCTCCCGGTGCCGCGTGGGGAAACTGCGCCGGAGCCGCAGCCCCGGAGCGCCCGCGCCGCCCTCGTCCTCAACAATGCTAGGGAGGGGGAAAAATGACAAAAATCACCCCAAAATACCCCAAAATCACCCAAATCCACCCCAAACTGCCCCAAAAACCCCCGCGCCGCCCTCGTCCTCAATCACACTGGGAATGGGGAAAAATGACAAAAATCACCCCAAAATACCCCCAAAATCACCCAAATCCAACCCAAAATCACCCCAAACCGACCTCGTCCTCAACCACCCTAGGAATGGGGAAAAGGGTTAAAAAATCAGCCCAGTGTCCATCCCAGTCCCATCCCAGTCCCATTCCCAGTCCCTCCCAGTTTATCCCAGTCCCTCCCAGTACCGGAAGAGCAGCAGTCGGTCTGGGCAGGCGTTGACCAGCAGGGACGGGTCCGGTGTCCCCAATGTCCATCCCAGTCGCTCCCAGTCCCATCCCAGTCCATCCCAGTGTCCCCAGTGTCCATCCCAGTCCCATCCCAGTTTATCCCAGTCCATCCCAGTTTATCCCAGTCCCTCCCAGTACCGGAAGAGCAGCAGTCTGTCAGGACAGGCGTTGACCAGCAGGGACGGGTCCGGGGCCTCTCTGCTGGCCCAGGCCCGGGCCGAGAGCGACGTGATGGCACCTCCGGCCTGGACCAGCACCCGCGAGGCTTTGGTCAGGCGGCCTGGGGTGGGGGAGGGGCGAGAGTGACCACCCAGTGTCCACCAGTATCCACCAGTATCACCCAGAGTCCCTCCATAGTGCCCATTGTCCCCCATTGTCCCCAGTGCCCTCCCTGGACCAGCACCCGCGAGGCCTTGGGCAGCCGGCCTGGGGTGGGGGAGGGGCGAGAGTGACCACCCAGTGTCCACCAGTATCCACCAGTATCACCCAGTGCCCACCAGTCCCTCCCAATCCCCCCCCAGTCCATCCCAGTGCTCCCAGTACCGGTTCTGGGGTCGCACAGGAACGATGACACCAATCCCCGATCGTCCCCAATCCCCTCCCAGTCCCATCCCAGTCCATCCCAGTTTGATCCCAGTACCGGTTTCAGGGTCACATAAGAACGATGACACCGATCCCCAATTGTCCCCAATCCCCTCCCAGTATCCCCCAGTCCCTCCCAGTCCCTCCCAGTACCCCCCAGTTTGATCCCAGTCCCTCCCAGTCCATCCCAGTACCTGTCCCCGGGTCGCACAGGAACGATGACACCGATCCCCGATCGTCCCCAATCCCCTCCCAGTCCCTCTCAGTGCCTCCCAGTCCCCTCCCAGTCCCATCCCAGTCTCTCCCAGTCCCTCCCAGTCCCCTCCCAGTCCATCCCAGATTGTTCCAGTCCATCCCAGTCCCCCCAGTACCTGTCCCCGGGTCGCACAGGAACGATGACACCGATCCCCGATCGTTCCCAATCCCATCCCAGTCCATTCCCAGTCCATCCCAGTCCATTCCCAGTCCCTCCCAGTCCCTCCCAGTCCCTCCCAGTCCCATCCCAGTCCC